GAACTGATACTATTATAAGATTTTTTTATTAACTTAACTCATTTTAATCAATAAGGAATTCTGGGTTAACTCAATTTTAAAGAGCTCTAAATCAGAAGGGTTTTTTCCTACCTACAAGCAGATCATAACAGCCAGTTTGCTACATCGTTTGTAAAAATGTCTGATTCTACATATATAGGCTTTTTTTTTTTCTTTCAAAATTTATTAATTACTTAGAGTGAGTGGAAAATATGTTTTGGTTCAAGAAAATGCCTGCCCAAGCCCAGGGCTCCCTGAGTCCCCAAGTCCAAGGGTAAGAAGTCTCAGAAAAACAGTTGGGGGGGCAAGAGGCAGAACCCAGCTCCCTTTCTTGAAGGCTCATAACTCTGTGTCAGCTTGTGACATTTTGGCAAGTTTAGGTCTGCACATCTTGTGGAAATGCAGACAAAACATGAACAGTTAGTAATGGTTTTAGTAGAGGTAGATAATTTTTCAATAACAAATTATAATTTTTTATGCATAATGATTTAATGAGAATACAGAATATTTATTGTTCTGTCTCTGAGTATTAGCCTGCTATTTTATAGCTAAATATAGCAAAACATAATACAATATGATATAATACTTCATATGCAATTCACTTTCAGATTCAATATGATATATAAAGTAAGCCAGAATTCACACAAAATAATCCATCTGGAAAAATCTTATGAAAAGGTATTTTTTGGTACCCAGAATTGAATCCAGGAGTGCTTCATCCCTGAGCCACATCCCCAACCCTTTTATTTTTTATTTTGAGACAGGGTTTCATTAAATTGCCCAGGTTGGCCTTGAACTTATAGTCCTCCTGCCTCAGCCTCCTGAATCAGTGAAATTTCGGGTGTGTGTGTCACTGCACCCAGCTTTTTCATTTTTTTAATATTTAAAAATAGAACTACTGTGGGCTGGGGTTGTAGCTCAGTGGCAGAGCACTTGCCTAGCATGTGTGAGGCACCAGTTTTCATCCTTACCACCACATAAAATAAACAAATAAAATAAAGGCATTCTGAGACTGGGGTTGTGGCTCAGCGGTAAAGCGCTCGCCTAGCACGTGCAAGGCCCTGGGTTCGATCCTCAGCACCACGTACAATAAATAAAATAAAAGTATTATGTCCAACTACAACTAAAAAAAAATAAATATTTTTTTTTAAAAAGGCATTCTGTCCATCTGCAACTACAAAAATTTTTTTTTAAAAAGAATAGAACTAATGGCTACAAATGTTACTTTCACGGGGAATTAATAATTTGATTATTAATTTATGGAAACAGTTTTTAGAGATATGTCTTGATGCTTTCAATGATGAGTTTTACTAGTAGAAATCACACACGCACACACACGCGTACATAAAGGCTTTAGAGCCAGAATATCTAGATTTAAAATATAAGTGTGCCTTTTATTAATTGGTTACATGGCTTAGCTCATCAAGCTTCCATTTCTTCTTCTATAAAATGGTGACTATAAAGATTTCCTGCTAGGGTTGTTAGGAAGATTAAATGAATTGAGGGACATTGAATGCCCCAAACAATAGACGTTCATAACACAATGTTCCTAGTTTCTTCTAGTAAAGCAGCCCTATGGTGCTGCAGCACTACGGTGACCATGACCAGTGATTTGGGGGCTACACAGCCTGGCTTGGCTCCTGGCTCTACGTCCTCACGGATGGCGTGACACCCCAGGCAAGCTGCTTAAATGCTCTGTGCCTCAGTTTCCTCATCTGGGAATAGGGACAAGAGAAAAGCCCCTTCCTCACACTGTGATACTGAAAATTAAATGAATTGATATATGTAAAGCGCCTGGGACAGTGTCTGGTGCACAGGAAGTGCTGGGTGACGTGTTAGCTGGCACGGTAGAGTCACTCTTGATTGATTGCACTGGCACACCTCTGACTTACTACACTAAAAACTGCAGCTGTGGTCAGAAATGTGCTTCGGGTCCTGGAAGTGTGGGTTGGTAGAATTGTCTGAAATTTTTCTGAAATTTTCTGAAATGCCAGGGGTGCAGGGAAGAGGGTGGAGGAACCAAGGAGCCCACACACTCCCCAACTCGGCTCTGGATGCCTGGCAAAAACAGCAGTCTTTGCAGATTCTAGCTCTGGGCACAGGGAGAAAGGAGCAGAGATATTATGTATCCCCTGAGTGCCGTTTACCCTCACGAAGCCATTGCTTTAATGAACACCAGTATTTTTTAGTTCCATTGTAAATGTTGTTTATAGTGAAAATCATATTGTAACAGCATTAAAGGAATTTTTAAAGATGAAATATAAATCAATGACCAACACACCACTTGATATAAAAACTGGTTTCATGTTTCTCTCTTTCCCTCTAGTTCTTTTTTAATATGCATATCCATGCAGTTGACATCACTGTGTACATACAATTTTATATTCTGGGGACTATTTAACATGAATTATTAATCCTTTTCTGTTATATGGTCTTCATAATATCATACTTTATTTATTTATTTAGTAAGTACTGGGGTTAAACCCAGGGGTGCTTTACCACTAAGTTACATCCCCAGCCCTTTTAATTTTTTATTTTAAGACAGGGTCTCACTAAGTTGTGGAGGTTGACCTTGAGCTTGTGATCCTCTTGCCTCAGACTCCTGGATTTCTGGGATAACAGGCATGCAACTGAGCAAATGAGAGAGAGGAGGAGGAGGAGGAGGACAATCAGGAGGAGGAGGAGGAGGAGGAAAAGGAGGAGGAGATAAAAAGATCCAAACCTCCCTAGGGCAGGAGGAAAGAAAAGGGAGGGAGGGGAGTATTCCATTGCCTAAGAGCTGCGAAATCCTATAATTTGATTTGGCAACAGACTGCTACCCCAAATGCTTTATTTACCATATCTATTTTTAAATTTAAGAGAATTCAAAAGAAGTTGTATGTGATGGGCGTGTGAAGGTTAATTACTGCCTACTTTTGGTATGTTTAAATTTTTCTGTAAATAAAAAGTTTTTAAAAAGAAAAAAAATTGCTAAAAAAAAGATTTTCCAGCATCCTTGGAAATAGTTTGAAATAATTCTTGGTGAACCGGCCACCACTAGCCCCCCCTTGGCACTTGCATAGGAATTTTTTTTCCCCCAGTACTGGGGATTGAATTTAGGGGTGCTTCACCACTGAGCCACATCCCCAGCTCTTTTTTATATTTCATTTAGAGACAGGGTCTTGCTGAATTGCTTAGGGCCTTTACACTAAGTTGCTGAGGCTGGTTTTGAACTTTCAATCCCCCTGCCTCAGCCTCCTGAGCCACTGGGATTACAGGTGTGCATCATGGTGCCCGACTGTGACAACTTGTTTGAAGTCCCTCTTCTCGAGAGACTCTTCTTCTGTCTTCAGAGAGATGGTTCAAACAGACTGGAAATCTATATAGTTCATGCTATGAAGGAGGCTCCTTTGGACATGGTACTCTTGTACTAGTATATCTTCCCACCATAGGCAGGGGCCCAGCTTGGGGCCTCATGAAAACATGCTGAAACATCTTCTTTAAGAAGGAGCAGCTCAGGAGGCTGAGGCAGGAGGATTGCAAGTTCAAGGCCAGCCTCAGCAACTTAGCAAGGCCCTGAGCAACTTAATGAGAATCCTGTCTCAAAAAATAAAAAGGGCTGGGGATGTGATTCAGTGGTTAAGTGCCCCTGGATTCAATCCCTGGTATCAAAAAGGGGGAGAAACGGGGAAGGGGGGAGAGAGAGAGAGCACAGTGGAGGACAGCTGCGTGAGATCTAGCAGATGAAGTTCTAGTCAGGGAAGAAGGAAGCCAATGCAGAATCCTTACAAAGTAGTCACATTCCATGGTGAGCTGTTTAGGGCAAGGGTGGCTTGGTGGTTCCCATCTGAAATCTTTAATCAGCAGGCTGGGCTCTCAACAAAGCATAACAAATGTTTGCTGAATGAATAAATAAAACTTCAGGTTAAGTACAGTACAAAATATGTATATTAGGGCTGAAGAAATTAAAAAAAAAAAAAACAGAGGCATAATCTGTGTAGATCAGAAGAATAAAGATTTCCTGCTGGAGGGAAATTGAAGATATAGCCGGGCGGGCACAGTAGTGCACACCTGTAATCCCAGCAGCTTGGGAGGCTGAGGCAGGAGGATAGCGAGTTCAAAGCCAGCCTCAAGAATGGCAAGGCACTAAGCAATTCAGTGAGATCCTGTTTCTAAATTAAATACAAAATAGGGGTGGAGATGTGGCTCAGTGGTGGAGTGCCCCTGAGTTTAATACCCAGTCCTCCCACCCACCCCACCCCCCCAAAAAAAAAGAAGAGGAGGAAGAAGAAGAAGAAGAGGAAGACGAAGAAGAAGAAATAAAGAAATTGAAGGTACTGAGGAGTCTGGTGTAATGGTTCAGGCACGTAGCTTTTCACTGATAATACTGTGTGAGTTCAGGTTAATTTCTTAACCTTTCTGTGCCTCAGATTCATCTCCAAAATGGAGTAATGATAGTGCCTACCAGAAAAGAGTAGGGTGATCAAACAGACCTCAGTGAGTTACTGGGTGAATGGGCCATGATGCTGGGTGAGGGGTGCTGGGTGGGCACCATCACTGATATCTCATTTTCACATTCCAAGGGCCCCTGACCAGGGACATTGCAGACTTTTGAGGATGATAAGGTCTGATTCTTAAATATGAATGGACAATTGAGGAAAACCAGAGTTAATCCCCAGCACTGCAGAGAGAAGAAGAGGGAGAAGAAGAAGAAAAGAATATGAAGAAAAAATTAGCAACATGAACTTGATACTTTCCACTACCCTAACCATCATTATTTCTACGTATTGAAAGCTTACTCTGTGCTAGATGTTTTAATCACTTTTGCACATGGATCAAGTCACTTAAATCTTTACAACTCAGTTTCACAGGGAGGAGACAAAGGGCTGTACGTTAGCACTTTATTGGAAAAAAAAAATAACAACACCAAAGACATTTTTTGAAAACTGTAAGATGAGACATTAGAAACCAATTCCTGTTGACATTTTCTTTCTGCTTTGCAGAGACCCAAGATTGCCAACATTAAAACAAAAGCAGGAGACTTCTACTACTGCGGTAGGAAGATTCCCAAGAGATTAAGGTAACACCTTTTTTTTTTTTTCCATCACGAGAAAATGGATAATATTGTAGATCTGCAACCCTTGGAAAAAGCTATTGCTCATATTTCTGTGAAGGGTTTGAGCTTGAAAAAAAATCTGTTGAAAAAGGAGGAAGATTTCCAATATTGCATAATTTCTTTTTTTTAATTTTTATTTCTTTTTAGTTTTAGGTAGACACAATATCTTAATTTTACATTTATGTGGTGCTAAGGATCAAACCCAGTGCCTTGTGCATGCTAGGCAAGCGCTCTACCACTGAGCCATAACCTCAGCCCATATTGCATGATTTCAAAGTCAGAGGGTCCTTTTGTGTAGTCACTAGTGTTGTTCGTATTTAGAGAAAAGGCAACAGGGCAGGGAGGTTGAAGGGGACCCAGAAGTCTCGATGACCTGAAACCAGAATCTAAGCTGCTGCTGCTGCTGCTGCTTCTTTTTGTACTGGGGATTGAACTCAGGGACATTCAACCATTAAGCCACATCCCCAGCCTTATATTATTTTAGACACAGGGTCTCACTGAGTTTCTCAGCGCCTCATGGTTTGCTGGGGCTAGTTTTGAACTTGCGATCTTCCTGCCTCAGCCTCCCCAGCCTCTGGGATTACAGGCGTGCGCCACTGTGCCCAGCCAAGCTTCTTGATTTGCAGTCATTTGAAAACTTTTCTTCCTGTTTGTATCTTGGAAGATGGGTAAAAGAGGGAGTGGGGAGGTGGAGAAGCATGTACTTGAAATAAAAGCTCAACCAGGTCATTTTATTAGGAAGTTAAGATGGAGCTGGGGTTGTGGCTTAATGGCAGATCACCAGGCCCTGGGTTTGATCTCCAACTTGAGAAAAGAAGAAGAAAAAAAAAGTAATAACTTTTTAGAAAGTTCCTTAACTTCCAAATAAACTTTAGCAGATTATTCAGAATTCCAGTAGTAGAAAAATAATACTCTCCCTAAAAATTTTAGATAGTACTGTATCCTCTTGCTTCCTTAATGGCAGATTTGGTTTATTTACTCATGCATTGCAGTGCTGGGGGTGGAACCTGGAGCCAGGTGCTTGGCCACTGAGCCCTCCTTCAGTCCCTAAATTCAGGTTTTAAATAAGCAGATGGAAAAGCATTTCCCATGTTCACCCTGAAAAGCAGAGTTGTACCAGTAAAGAGGGGACAAAAAAGACTTGGGTATAATGCCCCCCATCCACAATGTCCCATTGGGGACCTGAGGTCCATGAGTCAGGTCCAAAGCCAGCAAATTCTATCCTGATGAGTAACTATGGTAAATAAATGCTCTGTGGGGTTGTCCTGACATCCACTAATATCACTTGTTGAAATTAGCACAGATGTTGTTTTTGTTTTGTTTTGTTTTGGTACCAGGGATTGAACCAGGGGTGCTTAACCACTCAACCACATCCCCGGCCCTGTTTTATATTGTATTTAGAGACAGGGTCTCACTGAGTTGCTTAAGGCCTTGCTAAATTGCTGAGGCTGGCTTTGAACTGGTGGTCCTTCTGCCTCAGCTTCCGAAGCTGCTGGGATTACCTGAGTGCACCACCGCGCCCGACTAGCATAGTATTTAAGTGAGGCCCAAGGAACCCCAACATGATTTCTCCCTCAAGGTCCTCGAGGTCCACACACTTCGTTTAGGAAGGTTCTCTGGTTGGATGTGCATGATCCTAACGGCCACTCATGTTTCCCCAGGAGCGCTGCAAGAGCACCGCAGACCAGGATCAACCTTGACACTGTCAGCGAAGATTGTCTGTGCTCTGCACTGAGCCACGGGATGACTCAGGAGTGTGATGAGTGCTGTTTCCCCATGGGCTTGAAGCTTGCTATCCTTGGCATCCTCCTCATTGTTGTATTTGTCTACTTAACTGTGGAGAGAGAACCACTCTTTAGATAAGTCCTTTAGGAGCAAAGCAACATGATAGTGCTTGAATAATGCCCTCAACAAGCCCTTCAAAGGGGCCACCATACCCCTGGCCAGGCAGCCTTCCTTGGCTGATCTGTGCCTGGGTTTAGCCAGGTGAAAGGAAAGGGGGAGAACCAGGCAGCTGTGAGTTAAGATCACGATCTTTAGGAAAACCTCAATCATGTAAGCCATCATTAAAGGTGCTTCCACACAAGAGCAAGCAGGTTTCTCCTCTCTCTCTCGATGTAGTGTGGGGATTGAACCCAGGGGTGCTTTACCACTGAGCTCTGTAGCTCCAACCCTTTTTCCTTTTCATTTTTGAGACAGGGTCTCACTGAGTTACTGAAGCTGGCTTCGAATTGGTGATCCTTCTGCCTCCTGAGTCACAGGGATTACAGGCATGAGCCACCAACCACCCCTGGTGATAAGAGCAGACTTTTGAAAAGGAAACTCTGATCGATGTTTTTTCTTTTTATTTCCCAAACCAAAGGTTCCCATTTTTTTTTTTACTATTTATTTTTAAGTTTTAGGTGGACACAATATCTTTATTTTACATTTATGTGGTGCTGAGGATCGAACCCAGTGCCTCGTACATGCTAGGCGAGTACTCTACCACTGAGCCACAACCCCAGCCCCCCTGGTTCCCATGTTTTTAAGAGTGAGACAACCTACTAGTGCATCCCAATAAAACATATCCAGTTGTCCAGAAAGGGGTGCCGTTCGCAGCTTGATGCAGCCTGAGGTGGTCATGAGTTGGATTCAGTATGAACATGTGTGCCATCTCAGGGGTAATCCCAGCTGGGTTCTTCTTCAGTGAGTTTGTACCTGATCTATTTATCAGTTTTCATCCAAATTTAGTGGGGAATTGGATGGTTTTCTTTGGTTTCTAGGCCAGGAATCCCTTGATCCTGAAAGTCTTGTGAAAAGACCCAGCGAGGCACACAGAGCCAAGCACCACCACGATGGCAGAGAAAAGGGGAGATCACATTTAACCAGGGTGGTGAGCCATAGGTCACATGTGATTCAGTCTTCAAACTGCAGAGTGTGGGAAAGCCTACAACAGCCAGTTAACAACAGAGACCTGGGGATGTGGCTCCAGTGGTAGAGGGCTTGCCTAGCATTCGCCAGCACCAAATAAACAAAAATAAATGAATAAAAGAAGAATGTGTCTGATTTAGCAAATGCAAAGAAATGTCCAACATCATGACAACAATCTAGAACAAGAGAACACTTTTATCTTTGAAACTTAGGATCTAAAAATTAGGACTTGGGAGCTGTAATGACCATGACCTCCAGACCCAGGCAGAGCGGCATAGGCACCTGGTTTCTGTCTTTATTGGCTGTGTGACCTAGGGTGAATGAGTTGTCCTCTCTGAGTTTCCATTGCAACTTCTGAAAATAGGGATAGAACAGACCTTGTAGGGTGATAAAGGATTTGAAGAATTAAACACATAAAATACTGGGTGTCTATAGTTGACCTGTGGTAAAGCACTTAATAAATGCTTAAACAACGTTATTATTTGGTACAATATTTTTATTTCTGGGAGGAGCTGATTCTGGATACAAGAAGTCATAGGTACCGACCAAGAAATGTACTGTAACAATTTTTATGGAGGCCTACCCCAATATCCAATAATGGGGGAATCACTTAATATATGGAAGTATGTGCTCTTGATGGATGATGATACAATATTTTTAATGGTAATACTGAATTTATCATGATATATAGGAAGCGCTTATTTGAAACTTTTAATAATAGTTTCACTGAGAATATTCTTTGTATGTTATACAATTCACCTAACGTATAATTCAACAGTTTTTAGTATATTCATAGACTTATACAACTATCCCCAGAATAAATTTTAGAATATTTTCATCATCCCCAAAGGAAATCCCTAAGATGCTGATTCTTTTAAAAGGTAATCAAAAAGGGCACAAATACGTTGTACCTTATAATCACAACTGACAACCCTGGAAGAAAATGGGTCAAAATGTTAGCACTGCTTTGATGTCTGGGGACTCTATTTTTCTCCCTCTATTTCTACTTCTTCATATTTTAAAAATATTTCTATAAATAGTGTATTTTAATCTGCTAATGAGAGAAAACATGTTGTATACAAGCAAGGGATGGCATGTGCCTGTAGTCCTACAACTTGGCAGGCTGAGGCAGGAAGATCACTTGAGCCAAGGAGTTCAAGGTCATCCTGGGTAACAGTGAGACCCTCATCTCAACAACAACAACAGAAAAATTGTGAATTGACTTATAGGTTGACTGCAAGGAATATAGAACCCCTATAAGAATGGCTTAAACAAATAGTAATTTATTTATTTATTTGGGATTGGGAATTGAACACAGGAGCGCTTAACCCCTGAGCTACATCCACAGCCCTTTTAAAGTTTCATTTTGAGACAGGGTCTCCCTAATTTGCTTAGGGCCTTACTAAATTGCTGAGGCTGGCTTTGAACTTTCATCCTCCTGCCTCATCTTCCCAGGCTACTGGGATTACAGGGGTGCATCACTATGCACAGTGCCAACTGGTTCTTACACATCAGAATCCTGGAATCAGTTTAAAGAAACTGCATAAGACTCTAGTTTTGTGACTTTCACTGAAAGCATCAGCCCCCAACAGCACCCCAACTACCAAGTCAGAACCTGCTCTGTTTTTGTTTTTTGTTTTCCTTCAGTGCTAAAGATGGAGCCCAGGGCCTCACACATGCTGGGCTAGTGCTCATTGAGCTATATTGCCACACCCCCCCCATCTTTTTTAGAGCTAGAAGTCTACTATGTTGCCCTGGCTGCTCTTGAACTTGGTATCCCCCTGCCTCAGGCTCCCAAGCAGCTGGGATTGCAGATGTAACACCACTCCCACTTCAGAACCTGCATTTCAACTGGATTCCTATTCATATTAAAGCAGTGCTATGGTCCATCCCTATCGAGGGTGGTTAGAAGACACAAGGAGAGGTAGAAAGGAGACATTCCAGACAAAACAAGAGTATGTCATATCTAAAGTCCACATTCAAAGTCTAACTTCACATGAGTTAAAAGTCCAGATTTAAAGGTCACTAACAGCACTACTGAATTGATCGTTAGACCTCATCCACAGGTACACCCATGTAGTCCTGTTTAAATTCACAAAGCAGAATGCATCACAAACAAGAAAAGAACCTCTCACTAAAGTCATTTTCAACATGTCAGCAAGTGACCCCTGTCCTGGTAATGGACAACATGTCCAATTGCCAACACAAAGGAGAACAAAAAACATCATCTTAGATCATGCCCCTGTCCTATCCATCTTACATGTGTAAATATGCACGTTCCTTTCCTATTCTGTGTCCCAGAGTGTGTACTTCTTTCTTTCTCTCAATAAATTCAATCTCACTTTGAACCTTTTTGTGACAAGGTCAAGAAGCCTCAAGGTCTGAGTTGAGGCTCACTGCTGTTTTGGGGTACCTCCTCAGGACCCTTGTCCCAGTGATACCTTTCAGATGCTGTGATTTTGTGATTTAATAAGAAATACCTATTTGGTTCCTGCAGATGGTTCCTGGCCCACAGTATTTAGGTTGCTGAAGGTGGAGGAGGTCACGTGACCAGTGATGTAATCAATCATGCCTGCATGACAAAGACTCTACAAACAAATGAAAGGATAGTGTTTGGGGAGTTACCATAGATCAAATGATGATGGAGGAGTCGCTGAACCATGACTGAGGGGCTTGGAGGTGGGGCTTGGAGGTCTGTCCAGAGACAGCAGGAAATCTCCACGCCCTTTCCCTCTGCCTCTCCCTATGCATCTCTTCCATCTGGCTCTTCATCCGAATCTTTCATTATATCCTTAATTAATAAATCAGTAAACAGAAGTAAATGCCTCTCTTAGTTCTATGAGCCACTGTAGCAAATGAATTGAACCCAAGGAGAAGGTCATGGGAACCCTGATTTCTAGCCTGTCAGGAACAGGTAAAACAAGCTGCAGCTTTTGATTGATATCTGAAGGGGGCACCACCTGTGGGATCTGATGCCATCTCCAGGTAGATAGTGTCAGAACTGAATTGAACCCAAGGATATCCAGATAGAGTGTCCATTGGAGATTCTGATGTCAGATTTGTTTCATAAGAAAGAGGAAAACCCGCTGATCTGGTATCAGAAGCATTTTGTTGTATGAGAATAGGGGAAAAAACACCTTAATTTTTTTCCCATCTCTAATAGATGCTTACATAGGAGTTCTAAGATTCAGGCTAGAGGACCAGTGGTGTAAGTCTGTTAGGAGTCCATGCACAATGGAGACTCGCTCCCACAGGGAGAAAAACTTGTCTTGAAAGAAGACGGAAGGCATATACATCCAACAAGTGACTTAGCTCCTCTATGCACTTGCAATAAAATGGCAAAATCAATATAAGATCCCTCCAGGAACACACAGGGGTGGGGAGAAGATGGAGAAGTCAAGAAAGGTGGCAGTGTTAATTGACAGCCTTTGGATAATGGCATGGGCCGCCCAGGGGGCCGCCATCTCCAAAGCTGGCACTGGGCATGGGAGCTTCCTAGAGAAAATGATGTCATAGCTGAACCAGAAGGATGAGTAGGATTCAGTCCAAAGAAGGGGGAGAAAAGTGGGTGAGGCTAAAGGAAAGTCTGCCAGGCGGAGAGCCATGTTTACACAGCCTCCCCAGTGTGTATGGCAGTGTGCAAAGCCGTGAGATGGAGGCGAAGGATGCGACTGGGAAAGAAGGCAGGATTCTGATCATCGAGGGCCTGGGGGACCATAAGAAGGAGAAGAGGGTCCATTTTTAGGGATAGTTTGAACTTTGATCGAGGCCAACACTTGAGAAAAGGAACTCTTCAGGAATGAACCCCTATGTGCCTCCCAGTTGTCTCCCTGTCAGTTTCCACAGCCGCCTGCCTGACAGAGAGGGAAGGTTTCTAAAGAGGGAAAACTCAAGGAGCTATTTGCTGGCACCCCTGAGGAACTTTGGGAGCACAGGTGAGTTTGCAGCATGTG